AGCCAGTTTAGAGCCTAATCAATTCCTTCTTAATTTGAGAGGAATCTCTCCAGCCTCTGAGAGTAAAGCAAATATCGGCGTGCTTCTCATGCATCCAGTTACTACCCTCAATGCTTGATATTGAACTCTGTTAAGCTTATTCCAGTTGATTTGACTTGTGTAATGCATGGCTTGACACCCATACTCCAGATGCGATCTTACTAGCTACCCTTGTGAATATTTAGGAGAATATTCGGATCTGCTCCCCACCAAGTTCTTATAAGTGCCCTCATAACATTTATTCCTCTTTGTGCTCTCTTGTATGATGTCCATGTTAACCTATCCAGGATGACTCCCAAGTATTTGTACTCAGATACCCACTCTATCTCTTTAATTTAAACTCTCAACCTTATTAGAGGATTTTGTCTTAAACCCTTTGAAAATAGTACAGCCTTTGTTTTCTCTATGGATATGTCCATGCTATGATCTGTCATCCATGTTGTGAGAGTGTGAAATGCTTTCTGGACTTTCCGAATAGGCTGTTCTGGCGTTTCAGCAACAGCAAAAAAAACTGTCATCCGCATATTGCAACAGTGTAACATCACGAGGTACTAAAGCTTGCATTTTGTTACCATATAAATTAAATAATATTGGGCTAAGAGGAGAACCTTGAGGTAATCCCATGTGTGTCAATCTTGGTCCAATCAATTTTCCTGTATTAGGTGATCTTATATATAGCATCCTATTCGAAAAAAGCTTAATAATAAATTCCACAGTCCATTTATCAATTTGAGCTTCAAGTAAATATTGTTTCAATTTTTCTAGGCAACATTATCGTAGGCGGCTTTCAGATCGATGAACATAGCAACCATGATCTTGTTGTCTGTAATGGCACTATAACTAGCAGTAGTCAATAACACTAGATTATCAATGGTACCCTTTCCCTTTCGAAAACCATTTTGGCATGGGTTAAAGTATTGTTTATTTTCCAATGAGTGTTCAATTCTGGTTTTGATGATAACTTCCAGTATTTTACCTGAGCAAGTAGCCAAGGCTATGGGTCTGTATGTATCATGCTTGTCTGGATTTTTCTCAGATTTTAGGATCGGGATTATTACCTGCTTTTTCCAGTCTCCAGGACAGTGGCGGCTCGTGGTATAACATATTGGGGGTGCACATAATTTGTAATTCATAATAAATGCCGAAAGGGGGGTGCCCGCCGCAGGCGCAGCCGGAGGCGCAGCCGGAGGCGCGAAATTTTTCGGGGTGCCACGCCCAGAAGTGTTTATTTTAGGCCTTTAAAAAAATAATTTATTGTAAGTGATCGTATGAGTTATGTGATGTGTTTACCTACCAATAATTAAAAATATTGTTAAGGGATTTCATATCTACCCTACCAAACAACCAACAAAGCTCAATTTAATACTTTTTTCGGTCTATCAAATCGTGGAAATTGAAGGATCTTATATCAATAAACTAGAAATTAAGTAACAAAGTAACTTACCTCGCTGAGTACATCGTCCTGGTCTAACAATTGTTTTTATACATAAATGTATTATAGTTTTCAATCTCACAATTCTCACAGACACGTTTTGTATTGAAAGATAAGAGTAAGATGTGATTTTGAGTTTTGATGTTTTTTAATTTTTTCGGATAAATGTACTAAATCTTTAACGCCGGATTTTGTCCATTCTGATGCTTCATCGCTTCCAAATAACAAACAGGGAAAACAGTAAAGACTATTACTAACATCACAACCGCACAACCAGTCAGTTTTTTCGTAAGTTTCCATTTTAAAATTTCGTTTATAATCACGACTTTTGCATTTTGTTATGTTGGTGATTATTAAATTTGGCTTTGGACGGCCGACACATTTGATTTGGATTTTTTCCTCCAAAGAAAGCGAAGAAAATTTAATTGTTTTTAAATATTGCACGCTAAGGCTATCGGGGTTCAGAAATCCCGCCATTCTACACACAGTTTTCAGTTAAATCGCGCTCGAAATCTAAATAAATATAAAACAACGGTTTCCGATGCCAAAGTGCACTGACTACATGTGCACACCAGCCAGCTTAAAACATCGAACGTCGCTAGACCTTCGCGGGGAACAAAGAGTGCGGGGGGGCATAGTTCCACCAATTGGATTTAATATTGAAATGTGCAGTGAACGGGGCGATCAAGCGACGCGGTGGACGCTGTGATTCCAGCGTTGCCGGTTGCGTTTGTTTTGCTGGCGCATTTGGCCACTAATTTTTTAAATTAATACTTTACAGGTAGAATGTTAAAATTTGAAGAATGATAAAATTAAATTTAAAGTTGTTTGATATTAATTTGGGAGTGCACGTGCACATGTGCTCTTATGGAGGAACCGCCACTGCTCCAGGAATATTAACTCTTCCCAGAATAATTTCATTGTAAGCATTCATCAAGGATTTTTTGATAAACATAGGTGCCCTTAATATCATATTGTATGGTATATTGTCTATTACTGGTGACGAACTTTTTTTCCCCCTCAGATTACTTTCCAATCATCCAATGTGACTTTCTTAAATTGTTGACAGTCATATTGGATTTCTTTGCTCTCTTGCATAACGTATGGAGGAGCAAGATGGTTTATTTTGTCCTCTATCCATTCTGTCTATAATTTCGATCATTGTTGGCAAATTTTCTGACTATTCTCCAAACATTCTTAATGGGCATATCTCTATTGAGTGTTTCCGTAAACTTTCTGAAGCTTTCTTTTTTCTTATTTTTTGTAAATCTTCTAGCTTTTGCTGCTATTTGTTTGTAATATATGAAATTCTCCATTGTCATGTCATTCAGGTATTGCCTCATGGTCTTCTATTGGCCATGGCCTTACACTCTTCATCCCACCACTTTGGTTTCAAGTTGTTTGTTATCCGAGAAGATGAAGAGATTTTTATTTTAGGTATAGCCTCCTCAGCAGCTTCAGTTATTTGATCAATTATTTGTTGATAACTTAAATTCTCCCTTTCCTCCCCAAATGTTTGATAGTATTTTTCCCAATCGGCCTTTCTAGTGTTCCGTTTTCTTGAAGGGATAACTTCAATATAGCCAATGTGATTTCCATCATTCACTTCACATACTGTTGGAAAATGAGCACTCATCCCTAATTCATCTATAGTCCTCCAGCAGCATTTTAGGCCCAAGTCCGCCGAAGTAATTGTAATGTCTGGACAACTTTTATTTCGATTTGGAGGGGAGAACCTAGTTTTTGTTCCATCATTCAACATCAGGTTGTAGTCGTTTAAGATTTCAGCTAAGTTTCTCCCATAATTATCAATATCTGCCCCCCAAACTCTGTGTTGGGAATTTAAACCACCCATTAGAATTAACGGAGGAATTAATTGTGGAAATGTTTGCTGGAAGTTATCAACTGATAGGTTATCTGGTGGGTTATACGCTGTGATTATGGAGATTTTCTTCACCTTTATACCCATAATTTGGAATCTTTGATTGAAATTATTATTGATGTCTAATCTCTGAAAGAATAAGAGATTATTTATAAGAATCGCAATTCCTCCTCTTCCATCTGGTCTATCTTGTCTTAGTACAATATACTTTTTGATTTTTAATATTTTACCTGGACCAAGCCAGGTCTCATTAAATAGAACTATATCGGGTTTCTCTCTGTTTATTATAAGTATTAGATCATCATAATTAGCAAATACACTTCTAAGATTCCATTGAATGATTTTCATCAATTTTTCTGAATAAATATTTTCTTCTCTATGAGCGTTTATGTTTTCATTATAATATAGCGTGTCAACACCTTCACTTTCTATTCACGTATGGGACTTACCCCTAGATACGATTGAGTCTTTTGTAAGCTTTTCTTTTTAGAAAATTGCACAAATTCACTTTCAAAAAGATTTTTGCTCCCGAGCTGTCAAAGGTCCAAGGGCCCAAAATATAAAAATGATAACAATTTTACTATTTGTATTTAATTGGAAATAATAAATTCGTGTTGTCGACTTCATGTCTTGCTGCGGCGGTGATCATTGCATGATTCCCCTGATGGTTGGTAGGCATGTTGTTTGCATAGGGGAAAATTGCGAAAGCGCACCATCTGTTAAGTGCCTATCTATGAGTTCCTCCAGCGTTTTCCGCAAGAAGCTTGGAAGACTGATGGGTCGATATGTTTCCTGTCCGGGTTTTGAGAGGAAGAAGATCTTATGAATAAGCTGTCATAAATAAATTGGAGAGTTGTTCATTGTTCTTCTTTGGCATGTATAATGATCGTCTGCTTTCTCATATTCACTCCACAAAAATAAGATAGAGGGGAAGTATGGCATTCGTTGATTTTTTGAGAGTTGGTCAAAAGTACCAAAACCATAGAAGTTCAACGAGTTGGTAGCTATCCATTTTAGGTATCAAGCAGTTGATGATGATTTCCATAAATACCTTGTATATTTAGGATAAGAGCAGAATAACAAGAAAAATTTCTAGATCTTCGTCATTGCTAGTTGAGTTGAGCTTGGTGCACAAATCAGGCCTTATCAATGGATGATATATCGTAGATGTCTCCAAATCTATTGGAAACTGCATGTCTTGATATTATTTCATTTCCTGAGAGTTTATTTTTATAGTCGATTCCATGATCAATGAAATCTTGCAGTCCTTGTTTCACTTCAGTATATCTCATCTGATTTCCCCAAATTTGCAGATATACTTTGAGCTTTCCGGTTTGATCGTTTGCCAGAATCTTTGAGGCTGACCAGAAAATCGTTGCTACTTGGATTGAAGTAGGAGAGGGTGAAACAGTTTGGGGGTAGGAAGAGAGTTTTTGGTCTTATTATCTTATCCAAAATCTCAAGGGTAACAGTTTCATGGTGTTTTTTGACGGCTTCTATTTGGTGCAATATTAAAAGTCACCTGTTAATCAAAACTGAACCAATAATAATTGTTAAACATTGATGTAACAAAATGGTCTTTACTTTTGTGATAAAGACTTACTACAATAAAATAACTGACTGATATTATTTTTCCTATCTATGCAGGCATAACATCAATAACAACCCTCACAGTATTGGCATTCGAAAGATTCATGATAGTGTCGAAGCCGTTCCAAAGAAAATGCATAAATCGTACGAACGCCTTTTACATGGTCATAGGAATATGGACGTATTCTCTTATATTAACCACTCCGCCTTTGATGGGCTGGGGCAAATACGGAAACGAAGCTGCAAATATAAGGTAAAAAATAAAATTTATGAGACTCAATTTATTATCTTGTATTTAACTTTTATTCTTCGTTTCAGTTGTTCAGTTAATTGGGAAGATCGAGGTACCAATGCAAAAAGCTACATCATGTACTTGTTTTTCTTTGGATTAGTAGTACCGATCATTGTGATAGGCTACAGTTATACATTTATTCTAATTACAATGAGAGCGGTAAGATTTTTCAATGTTTGATTATAATTACGAGTAAATAGTGAAATGTTTTTTTTTTCAGAATAAGATGAATATGGGGCAAATTTGCCGTGTCGAATCCAGAGTAGCTTACACTGTCTTCATGATGATACTAGCTTTTCTACTAGCCTGGACGCCATACTCGATTTTCGCTCTTCTGGCTCAATTTGGAGACCCTACGCTCGTTACCCCATCTTCGGGAGTAGTACCAGCCCTTATAGCTAAAAGCAGTATTTGTTATAATCCTATTATTTACGTTGGCCTTAATAGGCAGGTAATAATGGATTTTATTTAAACATAACAACTCAAAGAAGTTTTAATTATTCTCCGCACCTTCAAATAAAATTAACCCAAATAATTAAAAAGCAACATTTTTATCCTTCAAATTTGCCAATCGGTTTGTAATTAATTTATTTGCTAATATGCATACAAAATTTGTTTGATAAATTATATGCGGTTTTTTAGTGGTCACTTGCACAATAATTTGTATAAACTAGTCAGCTATTGAATAATATTTGTTTCGCATTATTCGCAGCACCAAAAATATTTCCTATCTAACGATTCAATTTAAAAAAAAAAAAAATAAGTTAGTTTCGAAAACTACTTCCCCTTTACTTTATTTGTAATTAAAGCTTTGCATTGTTCCCACAGGAAATCAAAAAGCTTGATTATTTGTTAAAAATCCCTTGGCAATTTTTCAAAAACTCCCAATCGATTATTTTTTAATCTTCGACGATAAAACGTGATACGGTTCGGTAACAAGTAATGAATTTTTTTTTTTATTTTGTTTCAGTTTCAGCAGTCCTTAAAAGAATTGTTTCAAAAAGAATCGACAAGAACAATTAACCATTCTTGTGAAACTTACGCTCTGGCCGTTTCCAAATACATATCGGAAAATAATAAAAAAATGAATTCGACTGATAAGAAAAAAGAGGCGAGGACAATGACGAAATTAGAAGAAGTCAGTCACGAAACGGAAGATTTATTATAAAAATTATCCAACAAAATGTTGATAGAATGTGATAAAATATTAAATAAAATTGAAAAGTGAAAATGCGAAAGAATATTAGATGAGATTTTTTTTTACTGATTTTATACAAATCAGCGAAGTTTTGTGGCAAATCCGTAACGAATTTCCTTTAGTCGGCAGTTCTTTTATTTTAACGTATTAGGCAGGAAAATGCAAAAAAAAACCTAAGGCATTTTGGAACAATAGGAATTTATGCTAAAACCCTCGGAATAATTTATATGAATAGAATCAGAAGGATTAATAATTATCGGCGCAAAGGGATTTTGGCCGAAGAGCTTCCCTATCAAATTTTAAGCCCTTCGGTTATCACTCCTTTGTTAATGTTAACTTTGTAGTAACATGCAAAGGTTTATTCATCTTCAGATAAACTTGCTGGTAACTATCTGCAAGATAAATTTATGACCGGTATTATAAAACACTGAACCGATGGTTGAGTTTCTTCATGCAAATTGATAGGATTCAACCGAAGGTTGAAACTCAACCAGCGGTTCAGTGTTTTATAATACCGGCCCTTAGTGTTTTCTAATTCTTGAGCGGCGGATAACTGGCCGACCAATGAAATTACAGATTGCGTTTTCATCCGACAGTTTATCAGAAGGGGAATAAACCGGCCCTTATTATATCAAATACAGAATATCAATATTAAAGGAGGCCATTTTTGGGTCTATTTTAAAAAACTTCATATGAATGCATATCTTAAAACGTCTTAACTTCTGAGATACAGGGTGATGAAGTTCTCAAAAAATAAAACATTTATTATTAATATCTGTAAAGCCCTCATTACATCAGTGTATTTTTTCGAGTATTTCTACATGTATTTATACATGTATAAATTCGTGAATTTTTTTTACGTGAGCAGCAGTCAAAAGTTTCACATACACGGCTAATATTTTCGCATTACATTCGTGTATTTCTTCATGTAAAGATACATGCAGAAAAAAATAGACAGATGTAATGCGGGCCCTACACCACTTTAGATATTGTTACTTATACGGGTTTGCAGATAAGTCAGACTATTTTTTCGAACTTTAACGAATTTTATTAAACACAATAACATAAAAATCACATGAAATTTAACACTACTTTACACTCCGAACTACTCCAAATAAAGCTTATACGGCACGATTATTTCCGAACGTGGTTATTTAATTCCTGACTTTACAGTTTACTGCACTGACCTTTACACGGTGCGCACCGGGGCTTTTATAGTTATGTGCGTCCTTCTCTAACACGCTCGAATTTTCGTGATTCGGTTCATCTTGAAAATAGTCGAATTTTCTGGCTTTTTCAACTGAAGTTACAGGGAGCAATCAAAAAGTACGAGTGGCGGGTTTATAACAATATTTTTATGAAATTTGGCATACCGCCCTGTATCTTCGATAGCTTCCAAAATTCCCATGTACTTCAAGTTATACCCTGTATAACAAAATTAAATCTATACTACTTCAACAAAATTGCATCTCAATTAGGGTCGGTTTATTTACCTTCTGATAAACTGTCTGGTATGCAATCTGACAGATAAAAACGGAATCTGTAATCCCATTGGTCGGCCAGTTATCCGCCGACCAATAAAATTATTGAACGGTAAATTTATCTTGCAGATAGTTACCAGCAAGTTTATCTGGAAAAACATAAAATACATACATATAACTTGAAATTCGGATTTGCCCAGTTTTTCTGCCTCCAACATTTTTGATTCAAAATTGTTCTAAACTCGACTATTTATAGGAATAATACATTATTGTTAATTTATATGGAATATAATTATTGTAGACGGAATATACAGGGTGTGGATATCAAATCGAAGAATTGTCATTTATATACATTAGGTATTTTTCCATATTTTTCTAGAACCATTGCAACTTTATTCAAAAAATTAACGCACAATTTAAAAAAAAAAAAAAAATAAATAAATAAATTGATGGCGATTGTTCCCTAATTATTAATGATACCTCTATTTTTAAAATTTCCTAGGTTTTAGGTTTGGACAGTGTAGACAGAAAACAGAAATTATTATAATAAAAAATTTAGAAATATTAACATTAAATGTTTAAAATTTTCCCCTTTTGTTACAATAATTGAATGTTTATATAAAGTGTTTAGTTATTTGTATCTGTAAGCCAAGGCCTATTTTGCTATGCGCTATTTATTAAAAATCTTCAATAAACTAACACCGAGTTTTATTCGAATTTTCCAATAGCGAACTTCCTTGAACTCGAATCAATTTCTAGGAAACCTTGACTGCTTTAGCAAGATAAATTCAAGATTTTCTAATACTTTATTAACGCAATTATTATTGTCTAATTGACCCAATAATTTTTATATATATTGTATAATATATAACCCAGGTTTGGATCAAGTGATGAATACGAATTTTTCATATGAAGAAGAAAAATATTATTAGGTGCATTTCGTTGAACTACAAATAAGCCAAACTAGTCACAAAACCAAATCTCAACTCACTACTATCGGCTATCAAGGATGTAATTTTTCATAGCAATTGTATAGGAAGATAAATTTAATATCGACTTTCAATCCAAATTCAAAAATTTTTAAACTGAACATGGAAGAAGCAAGAAATATACTTGACTACAATCATTCTCAATAGCAATCAATATCTAATCAAGTTCGGCCCAAAAATATTTATTTTAACAAAATGTATACAAGGATTTTTAAGTTCAACTGATGAAATAGGGCAGTTTATAACTGAGAAACATCCACTTGCATTGTGTGCACAGAAACACATATAACCTAAGAAATTTTGGACGAAAAATTACAAATAGAAAATTACATTTTATATAGCTGCAATTCCAATTCAAAACATACCAGTAACCAATATATGTTTTTGAAAGTAAGTATAGACGTTAAATCTTTTGAAACAATTTCAGAAAATTATGAGTATTGGTATCTTCATGTTCGTGTGGAAGTGAATCATTACACATATGAACTATGTGTCGTGTCCATTACAGATCAGCTAGTAGTAATATCACAATTTTTTTTTCAATTCTATGATGAAAATTGCTCCTTTTTCTGGAAATAATATTATTCACGTTGGAGATTTTAATATAAATTATTATAATAAAGATTTTTATGTGACAAAATTTAAAAAATAATAAAGGTTGATGGATTAAAGCAGCTGATAGCTGAAATGACGCATATTACAGAAAATTCAAGTACGTTAATAGATCTGCTAATATCTAATGATCATTGTTTAATAACAAATGTAGAAAGATCTCCAAAAATAAGTGATCATGACTAGATATGTATAACGATTGAAAATATTCATAAAAATTTTGGAAAAATTAGAATTTGTAATATTGTTTGGGTAGAGGGTCGCCGGAAAACACAATACAGTTAATAAAATCTTGATTATGTTACTGGACTGCTGGACAATAACTTCTTAACATACATAGCTTTTTACAATCTAAAACTTCTACTACATTCATGAAAACTAAACAATTCAACTATTTTACAACGTCTTCTTAGTTTTTGTATTGGTACCACTGGAGTCACTCCAGAGGTCCCATGTACAGTCGTTAAATCTGATACATGATATATCCTTAAGGGTATTGTTGGTTCTTGTATGTCCGCAACTTCACAGCTTACTGAAGGAACTGTCCTCACTATTTGGTAAGATCTTTTGGGCTTAAATTTCGAGGTTATCTACTTAGCAGCACGGCTAAGGGTATGGGTAGCTATCGAAACGTGGTCACCCACTTTAAAGGGTTCTACAGCTTTTCAATTTTTATCGGCGTAGTTTTTTTGATAATCCTGTCGTTTTTCGTTAATATCTCGAGCTTCATTGTATTGTTACGATAAATTTATCATTTACGTAACGTGTTCCATCTCTTCTTATTTGCATTATAAAGTTGTATTGTTGCCATTTCAGAATCAGCAAAATAATTAATTAGCGGTTTTTTGTTTTCATTATAACCTTAATTTAAATTATTGTAGTTTATGAACAATTAAAATAATTCTAGTGGATTTTTACTTATTCTCTTTTAATCCATGGGTTATTTCATTGTGAAGTGAATACGATCTTTTGTGTGTAGTTTTCTGATTGGTTGAGATTTTTGGGCTAATAAATAGGTACCTACTGCTGCTCTGGTTTTCAGAATCAATTGTTAGTGTCGGATTATTGGACCATTTGCTCTAAATAGAGTCGGTGAAAACCAAATTAGTGTGTCCCTAGCAACTTTTTACGTGGCTAATTTTTAGTCAATCAACCTAGGAGATTGTTCGGCATATTTTCACTGCCTTTGGTTTTTTTTACTACTTTGTCCTGGCCTGATTTTGCCTAGCACTAAAAAAAAAAGGAAACCAATAGTATAAAATCTTCAATATATATTTCACATAACAGTTACAATAATTATTCTCCATGAAGATATCCATAGCTTCTTGCGATCTCTGAAAATAAGATTGATTTGAGATAAGATAATATCGTATAAAGCAAAATAATTACCATCTTTTTGAGTTTTCACTATTTTGTTCTCTGTTCTGTTCTAGGAATCAGGTAAATCAGTATTTGTTTTCCATATTTTTGTAGAGGTTTCCATTGTGCAACTTTGAAAAAATCAGGTTTCCAGCCTAAAATTTAGATAGGATTCGAATAGGAAAAGTAAACAAATAATAGTAGGGTTAGGAAATTGTTTAAATCCGACAATGAACTTAAGTCAAATGTGGCACGAAAATTTGAATATTGAGTATTGCATGCGCAATATGCATTAATACAAACTGTCCAAAAATAAACGAAAAATTCCCTAGAACTCGATTCGTGTAACCAGAAATTTTACTGTTGGAGGAATCTTTTTTTTTTCTAGAAACACGCAGAAGAGAAGCACGTTATAGTTTTCTTCTGAGGCATTTTGCCAATTTGAGTGAATATTTGGGAAGTAATTGAGTCTTAAATGGTGGCTATTATTCTTATATAGAACCACAGCAAGTATTTGCTAATTTAACAAGATTTCAGTACGTAAAAACCCAAATTCTGGAAAATAAGTTTGATTCGTGTCACGTGTTGAGAGTCGAAAAGGCCAATCCACATTGGTAAGTCCCTATTATTCATCATTTTATTTTCTGATCTCTGTTAGAGTTTTATGTCCTCAAAAACGTAATTGATTGCCGTACTTACCTCAATTCTTGTTGAAATAGAGTTTTTATAGGCCTTTTTTATATTGGGTAACGTTACATCCCTTCCTGCTGTTGCTGTCATTAGATGCACAAAGGCACCTGATTGCTGAATTGTTGATGCTCAATCCTGAACCTGATAGATTGCTTGTGGAGCTTTTGGGGCCTGTGAATCTCAATCGTCCCCCACGAGGTTCCTAGTAGTATCATTCCATCAAATAACTACATAATCAGGTTTGCGTATTGTTGTGCCGTTTTGGGAACCATCGACCCCGTCTGTATTAAGGGTTTCACCATCTCCTTGGGAGCTGGAGCCTTTCACCTGCAACCACTTGTACCTACTGTTCAATATTATAGCCAGTTGAATCACCACTACCTGTCTTAAAAATTACCTTATTATCCTTTAGGTTTAAATTAAGTTAATTTTACGTTTACTAACCATATTATTTTGATTTCCTGGAACATTCCAAATAGTCCAAATTAGTGTAAACACATACGTCTAACGCTCACTATCCGCAATTAGTGCATCTGTACACCAGGTTAAAATGTATCCATTTACGACGGTATTTTTAGTATTTTGGTATTGATTTAAGGTGCGTGAACCGTACTTAATTATCACCCTTCACTTATTTGAACTTAATGAATGTATTTAGGAAATTAACTATAACTTTTGATCACCATAATGAACCAGAATGTAAGGTAAGATTTGGTATGTATTTATGTATGGCCAATTTTGTCACAGTCTAATTTAAGTTAACTGATAGATTCTTCATTTTTTTTTAAAGTCATTAAATAAATAATTCAAATTTGGTGCTTATCAGCTGTTGGCTGCCATTTAACAATAAATAATTCTTTGGCAAATAAAAATCATGCACCAGAGTGACTTTTAAGCGTTTTCATTTCATTCTATTTCGTTATACTCATTTAGGTTTTTGCAGTGCTTCCAATTAGGATTGAGTGTTTCCTGTTTTTAGTTTATAATCGGTAGCTTCGTTTGACTGCAGGGAAGTAAAACAGGTGGCGCCTTTTTGATGTTTACCCACCCCACTCTCCGCTGTTGAGAGTTAGTCGGACACCCTGAAAACGAAGCTCCATTTGCTCGATGTTGGTTATTGGAGTACCTCAGGCACCTTTTTGTGTATTAATCAATAAATTAGGTTTGCCCCCTAACAAACTCTTTAATGAATCCAGGCAGAGGCCTATATAGCTATTTTCCGTTTGACTCCGTCAATTATTATCCCGATTATTATCTTCTCGAGGAGAAGAGTGTGGGAAAAGGGTGTAATTTTTTGAAATAGGTATCCAGAGGGGTCAAAAATTCATTTAAAAAGTTTTAGTTAAAACATCTCAAGAATTTTGACATATTCTGGATTTAATTGATTTCACACTCAGGTTTATCTTATAGTACCTATAGTAGCTACCTTAACTTGAAAGGAAAATTTTGTCTATTTGGGGGAAAATCTAGAGATTTAATTTCTTAATTTTTTTATCTGATTCAATTTTTCCTGCATTTGTTTTTAGTCTTGCCTGTTTATTGCTACTGCCAGAAAAGCAGCACCCTGCTCAATTTGTAACGAGCATTTTAATTTAATCTTGCTGTTATCTACTATTTACTATTATTTTATCATTATTTTCAATTATTTAATTGTTTTTTTTTTATATTAAAATATATTTTTTTCAATTTGCAATAGTTGCTCATACCTGATTTTGTTAGAAGAGAGTGTCTGCACAACAATAGTTTTACAATAAACTAATTTCATATTAATTTTTCTGTCTTTGCAAGACACTCGCTTTTTGACAGAATTCAGGGATTTATTATTCCAAATCTGGGTGAACCTGATACTGCCTTATTCTTTTCTGGGTACCTACTGGACATAAAAGATCACTGTTTGGAGTCTGGATCAGCCGGAGTGACATCACCTCAGCAATCTATCCTCTTTCCTGGATACAGGAAACAACACGAAGAGCTCCAGTTCACGAAAGTGAAACCCCAACATCCATTGAAGAGGTCCGGATTGCGAAAGTACATTGTATTAGATTC